CCGAGAGAAGTTAGGAAGGTGGTTTTCTAAAAGTCGAGAAGATGCTTTGAGTCTAACAACACACCACAGTCGAGGAGTTGAATATCTGTTGGCCATTCGTGACTATTACGCGTCTATAATAACGGTGGAAAAAAACAATGATTAGAAATTTCATGTGAAGGGAGGAGCACGGGATTGTCTTGTTGATTTGGAACATAAAAAGTGTTCATGCGGTGTCTTTCATATTCAGAAGATACCTTGCTCTCATGCTATTGCGGCGTTGATATCAACTAGCCAACATGTGTCTACGGCTGTTTGCCCATCCTACGCGAAGGATTACTTGTATGCCGTATACTCGCAAAACATTTATCCCATAAATGACGTCTTAAAACGTGAAGCAGTGCCATGTCTCCCTCCTTACACTAAGCCTCGTCCTGGTAGAAAGAAAAAGTCGAGGTGGCAAACTTGGCTAGAAATCGCAAAGATGAAAGGCACAAAACCGCGGAAGATTCACAGTCAATACAACTGTTCAAAATGCAAGCAAGGAGGACATACAATGCTGAATTGTGTCACTTAATATCATCTACTCACTGCCCAGTACCATTTCGTTTGTATTGTATTGTATTGTTTGAACAGGAGGTATTCCTGAATAAAGACTTGTTTTCTTTGAAGTTATATGGAAGTCTACCCGAAAAATCTACTCGTGAAGTCTGCCCGAGAAGTCGACTGAAGAAGGAGCTTGTTTGAATTTGGTATTAAAAGTTTGTATTTTCCTTGTGTATTTCATTTGAAAAAAACTTGGTTATTTTGTATCATATCGAATTAAAGAATTCTATCAACAAAAAACTTCATATATTATCATATAGGTCCCGAGTTACATCCCGCAGTAGTTGCAAAATAAAGGATATGAGTTACCCGAGTTACATCCCGCATTAGTAGCAAAAAATAAAGGATATGAGTTTGTCTTACATCTAAAAAGGTTAGTAGTAAGAATCCTAAAAGTTAAGCGGGATTACAAAAACATATAACTTGGTGGACCAATATTAGTCATATAGGTCAAACGAGTTATATGTGTTAAATTCTAAACCGCGTATGCTAGTCTCTTCGAATATCTCAGCAACAAGCTTCTCCCTAATAGCAACGATGTTGGCATCACACAAGGTCGAAGTAAATGGATGGCCAAGAGCGTGGCATTCAATATACTTCATAGTATACACTCCACAATCACCACTTTGCACGTTTTGTGGTACTCCTACTTTAATCCGCTCATGCGTGTATGGATCATATGGATACTTCCACCTGTCCTCTGCTAAACATGTCTCATGCAGAAAATAAGGCATTATGACGGAAATAGGCTCAACTAACTTGGAAATTTCTTCATCAAATGCGTAATTCAGAATACTATCCCAGATAACAATGTGTCTCTTTGGAATTAAAATCCACAAAGCCACCCAATGATTGCCTTTGATGTGTAATGGGTTGTATATATCATCAACTTCAATCCCCCACATCTTGTTTGATCTGCAATAAGCTGGTTCCACACCGTTTTGGTAATCCAACGTAAGAGTTTACCAGAACCATCTGGATTTGCAGGAAAATCCACGAAGTCCTTGTACTTGGCAGTCCACATCGTGAATAAAATTATGTCAACAAAGCGCAATTTTTCGCTCCTAAACTACTCTGGATGCTTCAAGTACCGAAGTCTCAGTAGACATATTGCAGCATCCATGTGCTGCAATATTAAGACAAGATCTCAGTAAAACAGAACAATTATAAGCATAAAAGAAGTCTGCAAAAGAAATTTGCACAAGAAGTCTGCAAAAGAAGTCTGCAGTACGTACCGAATGTTTAAGAAATTCTTCCTGTGTCCGTAGAATCCAAAACCACTCTCCACTAGTGTGCTTTACTATCTCCGGATAATTGTTGTAAACCATCACAATTCAGTACCATCACAATTCAGTTTATGATTACAAATGTGATAAACAAAGTAATACAAGTAGAGATCCATTACTTACGGTTGAAGTGCTAGCCAATCATCAAGTAGCTTGACCTTTTGCCTATCCACGGGCTCAAAAAGATCATATCCTTTTCCTTTTGGAATAATGACCTTAACCTTCTGTACTATAAAAGGAGAAACCTGTGATGGAGTAGGCTTCTTTAGCCTTTCACTCTTTACCCGTGCCAAAACCATGGCCGCCTTTTTCTGTTTATCTTATTTCGCTTTTTGAGAGGGTAAATAATTGAAATGTGGTTCTACTCTACCAATACTCATAACACTTGGCTCATCCCCATTGACATTTTGACTTTGAACTTCACTACGTTCCACCTTAACGAATTTACTCTGCATTATTGGAGTATAAAAGTCGAGCAATTTTGAAATTGAACAGACCTTGAAAGTTAAAATAGTGAAATTAAAGTAAACATTTCTTTCCAAACAAACAAACCACATCAGCAAAGTTCAAACAACTTAGGTGACAAATAAATAACAAGTTTTGAACAAGCACGTAAATCACTAAAACAACATGAATCAAATGATACTACTTCTTTCCTCCTATTTTTCACGAATCCTTTTGCTTTTCCGAGGTTTAGCAATAACATTTTTGGGTGAGGATTTTGTACTAACCCCAACATCAGAAATCCCATGCTAGTTGTTGTTCTGATCTTCATCATTCTTGCCTTTGTCCTCAGCTACAGTTGGTGGAGCTGCGTTGGATTTCACCTG